ATTTGACTAGTCCTTCATGCCCTACCAACCTACCGTTCGCGAACATAGAAGTAACTTCTATTTGTTTTTAGTTTTTGTATGTCTACTGCTCCATCCATTCTGAATTATCTGACTTCCTAAATACCGAAAGTCGGCGACTTCGTCTAATTTTTCGTTTATTATCTTTATATTCACTCTTTCCCTATTTCTGCCCCAGCATACCAACATTTTTGTTTTACTTCTATTTATTCTCATACTACATAATTTTGCCAATACCGCTTCAATTTTTTACTCCTTCTTCCTAGATGCTAATAGGTACTGCTATATCATCTGTAAATCTGAGCAAACTAATCTTTTGCCCCTGTATGCCCCTAAAGTCGTCCTGTTTTTAAAATTATATATATATATATAGATTAAAAGGTAGCGCTGACAGTGTATATACTTATCTGACTTCCTTCCTAATATTTCCTTCTTTATATTACTAAATAATGCTTGTTTAATCATGGTTTAAGGCTAATCGTTCACACGCATTTTGTAAAACACTTAGGCATATGACATAACGTCCAAGTGTAACAGTGTATCATCGTTTACTGGGTGTAACAGTTAGATAAGCTGATACCCTAGTAAGACCTTGTCTAATACATGAAATACTTCAGTAGCAGCAAATTCCCGGTAGATGGCAGTACTTGGATATTATATAAGCTCGCCCTTTAGGAGTTTCACTGACCTCCCGAGCGGCATGGCCTAGAGGTTTAGATCATTGCATAGCATTCGGGAGGACGCCGGTTCGATTCCGGGTCCGTCTGCCTTGCTCCAAGTTTTTTCTGTGTTTCCTTGGATCTTTTAGGCAAATGCTGAGGCAGTAATATTCCACAGATATTCTTTCATTCTCTGTCTTCATTTCGTTCGTCTCATCTTTCTCACTAGAACCACCACCCACCCATTCCCACGATTCCTGAAAGCAGGCCGAAGAGGGCCTTCCGTCCTACCTTCTGGCGTAGTCTGGAGGGATTGCCCGCCCCCCACCATTAGTGGTGGATGGGAACGAAACATCCAAAAGTTTAAAAGTTTTTTTAGAGTTTCATTAGTTCAATAAATGTCTAACCACTAACATAATATCGACAGCCTCGGCGTTTCAAAAAATTTCCGATTTTGCTACAAAATTGGAAGAAATTTTGGAAATTAAAATTTCATGAATCACTTCCTCAGTTAACATCCAAAAAGCGATTTATTAAACTACAAAAATGTAATTCAATCGTCAACTACAATGAATTATTAATGAAAACTGAACAGGAAAAATGACATCTTTACTATGAAAAGATCGTAATAGTAGTAACAAACAATAGGCTGATTGAAAAACAGACCGCATCAATACATCATGTAGTAAAGGAGGTAAACTGACATTTACCTTGGTTTCGTAGTTGTACAAAAAGACCGTAATTCAGTGGCCGAATAAATTAATTGATATTTAAAACGGTGCGGTTCACAATTAGCCGCACAAAACATTTCTTGAATGAACTGGTTGTGAACTAGTGCGGTTTCGATACAAAAAAAAAAACGATTGTATTTCAGACCAACAATTGGAGCATCGGCAGTTATTACTGCTGCAACAGCGTCCGTTCGTCGACACGATACACAGTCGCACCGCACATCATGTGACAACAATGCAACAGCATTTGTTTTTGCATTCAGACAGTTTCGCGAGTAAAACGTATCTAATTAATTACGCGATATTAACAAATAATGGAATCATAAACACGTGCCACGGCATTTGGTAAGAAAACATGTTAATTGTTAGCGGCATCGGGTACTTTATATTCTCTCAACGATTACATTTGCTCATTGTTACCGATTGTTTTCGTTTTGTTTGCAAGTTGCCATAGCGATGCTATTGTTGTAGCAAATTCATACGTGTCCTGTTATACAACCTGTATTTTAAGTAGGTACCCGTGTTCAATTTATAAAACACTGTAGGTAGGCACGGACTGCAATATTTATTTGATACAATATACTTATTTCTGAATTCTTGGAGTAATAACTAAAGAATTAGTTGAAATGCTAAACATTAAATGTCGATCATGTTCAACGAAAGACTTCAAAGGAGCACAAATTGGATTATTTGTCGTAAATTTGTCATGAATGAAAAAACTTTGTGTCTTTATTTTTCTAATGCTTACTTCACATGCAGGTATATAAACACCACCTACCAATCATGGAAATAAAGTTGACTAAAGAATTAGGGAAAAAGTAATTGCGTAAACAATTGTCGCTTCTTTGTCGCCGAACTTTGGTGAACAGAAATTCGTCGCGTTTGTATTTTAATAAATAGTCCCCTGAAATGCTAATCTAAGGTATATAACGCGGGTACCCGTACCTGAGCACTCATGAAAATACAGATGAATAAAGCACCAGAGTAGCAAATTGCAGTAGTAAATTGCTTAAACAATTGTCGCTTCTTTGTCGCCGAACGTTGGTGAAAAAAAATTTGTCGCGTTTGTGTTTCAAAAAATAACCCGTTGAAGTGCTAACATATCAAGCGGGTACTTATAGGTGAGCACTCATTAATACAGATGAATAAAGCACCAGAGTAATAAATTATGGTAATAAGTTGCGTAAACAATTGTTCCTTTTTTGTCGCCGAATATTGCTGAATAGAAATTTATCGCATTTGTATTTTAAAAAATAAGCTCTTCAAGTGCTAACATGCCACTCGGGTACCTACAGGTACCAGAGTAGTAAATTGTAGTAATAAATTTTGCAAACAATTGTCCCTTTCTTGTCGCTGAACATTGCTGAATAGAAATTTGTCGCATTTGTATTTTAAAATATAATCCCTTGAAGTTATAACATGCCACTCGGGTACCTATAGCTGAGCACTTATGAAAATACAGATGAGTAAAGTACCAGAGGAGTAAATTGAAGTAATAAAGTGTGTAAACAGTTGTCGCTTCTTTGTCGCCGGACGTTGGTGAGAAGAAATTTGTCGCGTTTGTGTTTTAAAAAATAACCCATTGAAGGGCTCACCTAAAGTACCCGTTAGGTGAGCCCTCTCTTAAAATACAGATGAGTAAAGTACTAGAGTAGTAAACTGAAGTAATAAATTGCGTAAACAATTGTCGCTTCACTGTTGCCGAACATTGGTTAAATAATATTTACCGCGTTTATATTTTGAAAGATTGCCCCTTGAAGTGATCATATTCACACAAGTACCTATTGATGAGTACTCATAAAAATACAGATGAAAAAAGTGCTAGGGTAATAAATTGTAGTAATTAACTACGTAAACAATGAACTCATAAAAATGCAGATGAATAAAGTACTGGAGTAGTAAACTGTGGTGATAAATTGCGTAAAAAATTGTCGCATCTTTGTCACTGGACGTTGGTGAAAAGAAACTTGTCGCATTTGTATTTTAAAAAATAACCTCTTGAAGTGCTAACATGCCACTCGGGTACCTACACGTGAGCACTAATGAAAATACAGATGACTAAAGTACCAGAGGAGTAAATTGTAGCGATAAATTGCGTAAACAATTGTCGTCGCCGAACATTGGTGAACAGAAATTTGTCACATTTGTATTTTAAAAGATAGCCCTTTGAAGTGCTAACATGTCACGCGGATATCTGTAGTTGAGCACTTAATAGTATGAGTACGCATTTTCGTAAACTAATAATACTTACTTGAGTGTTAAGTAAACATACCAGAAGTTATTTTAAAAAAATATCGGTCAAATTCTTTCCTTCCGCGACAAATTTAAAATAATTGTTTGGTAAAGATAATTCGATTGACATAAACATAAACACATGGCAGAATTTCTTTGGTTCGTTTTAGGTACGTACTATAAATGCCTTAATTTTTATTCTTACCAAATTTTCGTTTTGAGTGAAAAAACCTTTTATTTCAGAAAACATGTTCCTGTATTTTTGTAAGGCCACAACAATAGGCAGGTATAATATCGGGTAATTTATAAGAAAAAAAAATGATGTGAGAGACGTTGAAAGAGAAGGTTTGGCCAATTACCCAATTTCAGGTATCGGCACAAGAAATTACAGAGCAGTCCACTAAATTATCATGTGTTTTGACACAATTAAGAGCCCCTTAAGATTGTCCTAATTCGCCGGAGTTAAAAAGAAACTCTTTAGGGACGATTCTTTAATCTGAACAATGGTGCTGATCAAAAATTCTTTTAAGATGCCTCTAAAAAATTGTTATTCGCGTTTTAAGTGCTTAATTAAATACTATTTTGAGCTGTAACTACTTTACATTTGTCTGTCATATTTTGTTATACATAGTATAAAAATTGTAGTTTTTAATTGTAGAATGCATTTTTAATTTCAGGCGAATGATTAGGATACTGTGGATACCGAAGGTTAGAAATACTGAGGTATTAAAAAGAGTAGGAGAACAGAGAGCGCAATGGAAGTCAGTAAAAACTAGGCGAGATAGGTTGATAGAACACCTCAGGCATAAAGGGCTAGTTGGGAACATATTAGAAGCAGGAACAGGAGTTAAGAGGAGAAGAGATAGACCTAGATTGGATTCATCATCATGAGGTCTTCAGTCCTAAGAATGGTTGGACACGCACCTCCACTCTTTCCTATCCTGAGCTAATCTTGGCATTTCCCTAAAACTAGAACAAACCCACATCCTTAACTATTTGCTACCAGTTATCTAATCTAGGTCTACCTCTACCTCTCCTAACTTCCGTTTCTGCCTCTAATATACCTTTGACTAGCTCTTTATGCCTGAGAAGGTGTCCTACCAACCTATCTCGCCTATTTCTTATTGACTTCTATAGAGTTTTCCTGCAACACCACATTTAAATAGGATTACTGTTCACAAATAGTTAAGGAAATAGGATGTTCTAATTTCAGGTAAATGCGAAGATTAACGAAGGATAGGAACATTCTCTGTCTGTGTACATTTAATCTTATTATTTTAAGGCAAAGGATTAACTTAATACTTACTAAAAAGTTTCGAGAAAAGTTGAATTGTGTGTCGTATCCTGTCATAGTTGTTCTAAACGCGTCATGGGTTTCCTTCATTGTCACAATGCGTTGTGGTCAAATACCATGATATCTGCAACACAAATTTCGCTATGTGGTCCTTCTGTATTTGCCACAACGCGTCGTGGCCTTTGTAGGAGTCAAAACACAAATTTCACGATGTAGAAATTTTTCAGTGATCATAACACATGTAATTTCTATGTTTAGTGACCATGTTGCATTACTTGTTTAGGTATATATGTAATTAAGAATATAATTAAACCGAATTACTTTCTAAAATATGTCGTTCTTCCAAACAGCATTCAGTAAAAATAGCCTAAAATAATTAATGAAGTAACTTATTTAATCAGTAAAGTATCGAGAAAATTGCTAATTACTTCGTTACATTGACACCTTATTTCATAACATCTAAGTAGGGATAAGTGTCAATGCTAGGGGTAAAGTTTATTAATTAAAATGTCAAGTGCAAGAGACTCAAAATGTGATGTTTCTGCTCTGTCAACTACAGAAATTAGTACGTTTGATGGTTTAAGAAAATTGACTTTGATAATAGGTACTCATATAAAAAAACTTTCTAAGAAATAACTCACAGACGATTTTTTTTGTTACCTTTTTAAATTTTAGTGTAAATATGGTATTTTTAAATGAATCTTATTAAAATTACGTGATTTATTAAATCATGATCATCATCGCCATAAGATTATCAGTTTGAAGACTAATTAAAGAACTACTTTCACTTCTTCTAATCTGTTATAAGTCAACTATTAAAAATATCATTTGTATAAAGTGAACTGCGTTTCATCTTGCAACGATATAGAGGAAAACGTTAAAAAACAAGTGAGAAGGGAATGAATCATATTCGCAGGTGGAAAAAGCCTAAACTAATTCACCAAGACGGAGTTATATATTCTATAAAGCTTGATAAAGAAATAAAATTAGTAATTGTATACAAGAACTCCAAAACCATGTGATGAAGGTGGAAGTTAAGGTAAAAATGGGAACTTTGAAAACATTAACTTAATTTAACAATAACCCAGTCTAACCTAAGCAACAAAAAAATATGGAAAGCCAAAAAAGCCACGCCTAATCTTTTTACCTTGTTTGTTTGGATAAGTTTAGAGTCGGATTAGGTTAATACCTAAATAAAATTTTTTTCATATCTTGCACTTTTATTCGAGAACTACATAGCTTCTACTTACGTCTTCATCAGCGTGAAGCAATACCTAATTGTGCGTTTCAGAAAATACTGCTGCCTGCGACGCGCTGAAGATATCTAAAAAGATCGAAATCGCGATCCGCGTCTGGCAGTTTCGACAGAATACAGACCACTTCGAATTATTTTATTCAATACCTAATTGTTTATAATAAATACAATTAAAAGCAATGACCTAGGTCACTCCTGAGAATCGTCTCTTTATATTTGTAAGTATCATCACAATCAGTTCAGTCCATTCGAAGATTAAGCAAAACATACAGAAAGACAAAAATTTGGTGGGGTCCTTAATGTCTTTGTAGAATACAAAGAACCATGTGAATTTTAAAAAGCAGTTATTTAGGTATTACAGCTAGATATTACTACATTCCAACTTATTAATGACTGCCCTATTGGTACCTATTACTATTATAGGCATCTATTTCTATAAATAATAAATTACACTACTAAGAAATAAAATATCTTCATTAAACAGAGTATCTCGTATACGAGCATTATCCTTTTCCTGTCCAAGTCAGGCCTTACGCAACAAACACGAATCGAATCGCGTTTGCATGAAACAAAAGAATCAAATAAATTTTTCAATTGTTAATCACGAGCCGCTACTGAAGTAAAACTGCACCGAAATTCAATCTGCATCGCGCTATCTATTACCGTGTAATGTAAGATAAATTTGCCGCTCGAATAGTTATCAGTCAGTGCTTAGTTCTGACCACAATTTTTAACATCGGTAGGTATGCAGGCAACGATTGCTACTTGGAGCTGCTGACTATTACTGAACAACAGTGTACACGACATAACTATATATCTACATGTACGATGTACGTTTGTATGCAGGTTCGTGTGCACATTTTTGCGTAACAATTGCTGCACAACGATTTATCTTACACATTGTGTCGCACGTACACACAGGCTAAAAAACGTCAAAACTGCATGTTTACTTACAGCAACAGAAAAATATAAGGTCGTGCGTAATAAATGAACTATTTGTAGGGGTTGATCGAATGTGGCTTATAAGGAAGAATTGAAAAGTTAATAGGAAGTATGGTTTTGGTTAAGGGGTACACCGTAGAGGATTTTTGGTGTACACCCTGGTGGAATTCTAAGAATTCCAGGATTTTATTTCTAGAAGTGGATTTATTCAGAGAAGCAAAGATTTGCAGGAAATGATGAGGATTAATTGAAATTATCGTTGAATTACAAAAAATTTATTTCGATCCGGTGAAGAAATTTTTAACCTACTTCAAAAAAGGAGGTTCTCAATTCGTAGGAATCATTTTTTTTATGTTTGTTTCCTGATTATCCAAAGACCCCTGGACCGACTCGAGAAAGTTTTTTCTTGTTTAAAAGAGTATAGGATCCCAGAAAAATCGAGGGCTACCCTCAAATTTTATAGGGACGCATAATGTGTTTTATATATTTTCTATTTGAAATATTTACATCTGGTACTTTTCATCTCATGTTGCTGAGATGATACCGGAAAAAATCAACAACAGCAAACATACACATCAAAAATTGAAAAATAAATTAATTTTTAGAAAAAAAAAAACGAAAGCCGAATTCAAGACTAGATCTATATCTACAAACAAAAAGTAGAAAATACAACTGTAAATATATATCAGTATCAATGATTTTATCGACTGTTCTATAATGCACTTTTTATTTTCTATTTTTTAGTTTAAGTTTGTACATGTAGGTATAGTCTGAAGCCGGTTTTTGTTTTATCTATAAATTAACATTATAATTACTTTTAAGGTTGCACATCTTAAAAGGAATGAACAGTATAAAGACTTTGTAATATTTAGCAAATTTCAATTATAAAATTTATAATTTTCGTAGTATACCTTTTCGATTTAAATGATCATACATTATCCTTTACAACTGAGTACCTATCAAAGATAAACGGATAAAAAACTGGAAAAGCTCAGTCATCATCGTAAGACATTCAGCCTGAAGACTCTTTCTATCTTGAACCAATCTTCGCATTTCTAGAAAACTAGAGTAATCTACATACACCTCTAACTAATTGCGGACAGTAATCTAATTTAAGTCCAACTCTGTCCCTTTTAAGTTCCAGCTTCTGTTTATTCTTCCAATATATCGCTAATTAGCCCTTCATGTTTGAAGTTCTACCAGCATGTGGGAGATGTTAAACTGAGTCCTACATCAAGGACCAGAACATTGGAATCTGTTTAGGAATACCTTCAAGAGATCTTGAAAAATCAACGATCATCGACATGGGTTCTATCTCGTGAAAGAGTTTAACGAAAATCATTTAGATTCCAGATCGTCGTACGTAATTTTGGGAGGAGATGAGTGAAAGAATTGTAAATAATCCCAATTTTATATATATCAACAAACAATCTCAGATAATTGGAATGATTTGAATTCTACAATTATGAGAGAACGGCATTCGCAGTTCCGGAGAAAGTGAATGCGTGAGGGAGGATTTTTGGGAAATATTGCAGTATTGTTGGTCCATTTTTTTCTAGCACATAATTTGGAGGCGAGTCTTATTCGGTTTGCTTGAAGATTTAATCTACCCTCAAGTTATGAAGATCTTGAATCGGCAGTTTTCCAAACAGTGAGATAGTAGAAGGGTTCCATTGAATGACTTTCAAGGTCGACAGATTTAATGCTATTGGATTTTAACTTATGAGACAATTGAAAGTGTGAAACCTCTCTGAAAGATCTACACCACCGAATTGTGGTTATACGCAATGAAATAACCTCTCAAATGCTGCTGAATATTCCAGAGAATATTGAATAACGATTTTATTACTGCATGGAAGTGAATGGTTTACAATTTTAGCAGTTAATCAATTAAAACTTGTTTGAGAACTTTTTTTATATAATTCGGCCCACGTTTCAAATTGGGTTTTTACATTAGTTGTGAAAAAGAAGAAATAAGAGGTGTAGAGAAATGTAAATACCTGGAAGTATTATTCAATAAGCAAGGAACAAGTCACGATGAAATACTAGAAAGGATACGTAAAGGGAGACAAGCCATTGGAGCACTAAATTCGATATTATGAGCAAAAAAATCGGTTGTCTGTAAAGTCGGTTTACTGACGATAGTTGAACGTGACAACGTCATAAGAAAATACTGATGGAATGGTTTCATTTTTCAAAAGAAAATTTTAATTTTATTTGTTTGATAGATATTTTGTATGGATATAGAGAAGGAGGTAAATGGAAATGTATTATTGTATAGCAGCTGTCCACGCGGACGCATCGCTCACTCAAGTAGGAGAGAGACAGATGTCGAACGCTGCCGAACGCGGAGGCCGATTGTGCCTCTTTGTCGCTCGTTCCGCGCTCTCGCTTGCACTTCAAGCCTTAAATGGAACGCCTCAGAGCGAGGTAACGCTGCATGAGTCATGTTTTTTCGTGCGTGCAGCCGGCTCCATCGAATTATAAGACGTTGTCACGTCAAAAACATAAGGAAACAGACTAAAAAGAGAATATACAATGCGATAATAAAGAGCGTGATTACATACGGGTCGGAAAGTTGGGATATAAGCAAAAGCAATAGAAGAAAATTACATGCGACAGAAATAGATTTCCTACGAAGGAGTTGTAGACGATCAAGACTCGAAAGGATCAAAAATGAAGTTATTAGAAGGGACCTGGACGTTGACAACGATACTACAGACGAAGTAGAAAAGAAACAACTGAAATGGTTTGGACATACAAAAAGAATGGGAAAAGAAAGATGGCCAAGAAGAGTTTTAGAATGGATACCGCTGGAAAGAAGGAAGAGAGGAAGACCTAGAAGAAGCTGGAGGGACGATATCAACGAAGCAATGGAAAACAGGAATCTAGAAGAGCATATGTGCTATGATAGAAAAATGTGGAAA